CCACTTATTTTAGTTTTAACAGAACAACTCCAACTGCAAGATTATACAATAATCTAGAAAGCTATTTAAAAGCCAGATCATTGCAGAAAAACATCATCTTAGACTTATACATATAGGTGGCCCTTTCTTCAACTTACTTTACCTGTAACAGACCAACTCCAATTGCAAGATTGTACAAACAAGATACAACACAGAGAGACAACCAGAGAAGAGTGCCCAAACCATGGAACAGGAACCTTTGAATTGAGCAGCTAAGATCTTTCCCAAGAGACTACCTAGAGGATCAATGCAGTATTGGTCATGTCTTAAAAGTGGCAGAAACAGATACAAACAAAACAAAAACACAGACAACCAGAGGGAATTCCCAAACCCAAGTCAACAAACAGATGAGAACCTAGAACAGATCAAAAAGGAGTAAACATCCCTAGGTTCCTGAGTTATCCTTAACCGTGACTCCTACGCCAGTGGCACTGCAGATGTCTCCAGAAAGAAGACCAGATGTTCCCAGAAAGAGGGACCAGATGTTCCCACAAAGAGGAACCAGATGAGTGGAATCAAGGGTCTTGGCGTGCACACCGGGGTACTTACCAGATGGCCGAAGTTGTCTCGAATTTCCTCAGTTAAATTTCCTTTTTCTCAAAGTGGACCTTGATGGACCCATGACGAACAACCTGTAGAATGTTCAGAAAGGGAAGGCAGAAAAAGGAGCAAAAGGAGCTTCAGCAGCTGCTGGGATGGTCCCCCACCCCCTCCTTATACTCACAGGAACAGCTCCTCTGGTTCAGTTGCAGCAAGTTCACCAGCAACCTTTATCCTTACCATGGAAGTGGGGTTCCTTGGAGACGTAGGCCTACCAAGAAAGCTGGAGTGGGGACTGCTCTAGGGTCCCATCTAGGGTGCCAAATTTGTTGCTGAAAGTTCAGTCCTTGTCCTCGATGCCAATCCAATAACAAGGACACAGTTTTGAGAAAAAGGAAAAAGATTTATTGCTTTGCTAGCAAAGGAGAAACAGTGGACTCCTGTCCCAAAGGCTGTGAATTCTGCCCATCAGCAGGAGCATGGGGCTTTTTAAGAGATGATTCAAAGGCTACATTCCACATGTTCTCTGTTAGAGCTGGAGTTCACTTGTTCATTTGGGGGATAGTCATTTCTGAGATCTTGTGATGCCACCCCAATGGATTACTTCACCCTGATGGTGGGTATGTAGTCAAGGACGGATAAATCTACCTAAGATAGGGAAAAAAGGTACTCCTGTTTCCCCTGAGATTAGGGAGTGGGGGTGATTATGGAGGAACTGGGAGAAGGGAAGAGTAAGAAACATGTCCATTTTAAAAATCAGTTGCAGTGGCAGAGCAGCAAGGGCCATATTCAAAGCATAAAGTGGACCACTGTTACATATTTGGCTTTAGCCAGGAATAATTTATAGAAAATTTCAGCTAATTAATGTAGAAGAAATGACAGAGGAAAAAAATATTACTATTTTGTAACTGGTAGTAAAATAATTGATTCAGGCAAAGATTATCAATGGGTGAAACAATTAGATGAAAAGTTCATGGGGAAATTTATAACAGATGGACAGGATTGTCCCTATCTGAACCTGTTGGGTAATTTGGAGATTTCAGAGTTAAAAGGTCGCTCTTATCTGAAGTTCAGGTTCTGTATTATGTACCCTTTGATGTGATGAAATGTAAACTCCACAGCAACCCTTTAGAGTATTTGAGAGATGGGAAGTGAAAAATGAATTAAGAAAGCAGAAAAAAATCCAGAACATGAGTCTTTATGATGAGTTTCTTTGAGTCAATGGCAAACAAAGAAAGAAGGGAGGGATTACTTTATATTAGGGACATTACAACTGAATTCAAAATACAGATTTGATGCCTGGTGAGGTAGCCCATATCTAAATCCCAGCAACTAGGGAGGCTGAGCAGGAAGATTGCTAGTTTGGGAGACCAATCTCAGCAACTTGGCAAGGCCCTGTCTGAAAACCTAAAAGGGAGCTGCGGATATGGCTTAGTGGTTAAGAGAACCTGGGTTCAATCTCTGGTACCAAAAAAAAAAAAAATATATATATATATGTGTGTGTGTGTGTGTGTGTGTGTGTGTATTTACACACATACACATATGGATTCTGATTCAACCAAATCAATGTAAAAACACAGCTATAATATAGTGTGGGAAAATTTTAATATGGACTGGTTATTAATTTATATCAATAATTTATTTTTTAATCTTTTAAGATATGATAATGGCATATAATTATGTAAGAAAATGATCAGAGTTTTTAGACATATAGTAACACAAAATCTGGGATTTGATTTAAGATATTCCAGTAACACACACACAGAGAAGGAGAAAATAGTTAATAAAGCAAGGGGAGGCAAAACCTTGACATTAATTTTAGTATCGAATCTGGCTTATGGACACAATGAGGCCCATTATATTACTGTCTCTCTTTTTGGTATGTTTGATACGGAAATGGAAACAGTCCCATTGCCAGTCTGAGTATAAAGATACATGAGCCCCATGTTTGACCAACTTTTATAAAAGAAAATAATTTATAAAATCCTGGGAAACTGATAAAAGGACTTGAATATTCTTCACTCAAATAGATATTGTCAAAATGAGCTTTAAAAAGATTAAAACAAGTTTATACTCCAACCTAGATAAGCATGTCCACTTCACTATGTTTCTTCTTTCTGCCCCACCGCCCTTCTTCGTGGTGCAGGGATTAAACCTGGGGTCTTATACATGCTGGGCAAACATTCTACCCCTGAGCTACACACCGGCCTTCCTTTATTTCTTTGGATTTTAGGAAGGTTGTTCTTTAGTTGCGGTGCTGGGGATGGAAACCAGGGCCTCAGGCATGCCAGGCAGAAACTCTACCCCTGAGCTATTCCTCAGCTCCGGTTGTACATTTTTTTTTCTTACCCTTTAAGCTGTTTGTTCATGCTCTTTGCCCATTTTTCTATTAGGCTTCCTATTTCTAGGCTTCGTTGAGCTTTCTATTTATTCACTTTTTCTTTACTCATTTCTTTTGTTATAATTACTTTACCTCCTATTGATCTGGAAGTTGCAATCCTACTTTAATTATACTAATGGTTGCTTTTGAAATAAAATTATAAATGCATGCACTTGTGTTTTTCCACCAACATTAAAATCAAAACCTTGGGCTAGGGATGTGGCTTAATGGTAGCAGGCTTTCCTAGCATGTGTGAGGCCGCAGGTTAGGTTCCTAGGACCATGCACACACCAAAGTCATCAAAACATTATGTGTTAGGACAACAATGACTTTGCACTTTGGAGGCCTGGTTATAATCCTTGCCTTTATTTGTACCGTCTTGGGCAGGTCATATAATACCTTCAAACCTTGTTTACTTTATTAAATGTTTTAATTAAACATTGCACTAATACTTGTTGAAAGACTACTATGAAATAGAAAACCGGCTAGCTCTGGAGTTGTAATGGTGAGCCATTCAAACAATACACACACACACACACACACACACACACACATACACACAGATTAAACCCAGGGGCATTAACCATTGAGCCACATTCCCAGCCCCTTTTAAAATTTTTATTTTGAGGCAGGTTACACTAAGTTGCTTAGGGGCTTGCTTAGTTGCTAAGGCTGGCTTTGAACTTGCAATCCTCCTGCCTTAGCCTCCTGAGCCACTAGGATTAAAGGTGTGCGCCATCATGCCCAGCAAACAATTCTTATATTAATAGAGGGTGGGACAAAGCCACTAGACATAAAGCACTTAATACATTTTTCATGATTCAACAAGTAGTAGAAATTATTATTGCTATTAATATCCCTCCATATTATGAGAGATCTAGCACATTTAATCCCTTCCTCAATACCTTCTCAGGTACTATTTTTTTTTTTTTTTAATGTAGGTGCTGTATACAGTGGACACACCTGAAATTCCAGTAACTCAGGACGTTCAGGATTACCAGTTTGAGGCCAGTCTGCACATCTTGGTGAGACTTTGTCTCAAAAATTAAAAAGGGTGGAAATATAGCTCAGTGGTAGTGTCCCTGGGTTCAATCCCAGAACTGAAAAAAAACTTCATGTATCTTATGTTAGTTTTCCACCACTGTAACAAAATACTGAGAAATGCACTTACAGTGAGGAAAGATTTTGTCTCATGGTTTCTTGGCCCTGTTACCTCTAGGCCTTTGATGAGGCAGAATATCCTGGCAGGAGCATCTGGTGGAGGAAACCTACATACCTCATGGTGGATGGAACGAAAAGAGGAGCCTGGGACCCAATATCCCCACTCAAGGGCACGCCCCCACCCCAATGACCTAACTTCCTTTCATTAGGCTCCAACCATTAGTTTCTAACCATCTCCCAACAGCACCACACTCTGGCCATCAGGCCTATTTACCATGAGCCTCTGGAGGACACTTCATATTCAAACTATAGTTTTTTTTTTTTAAAAAAAAAAAAAAAAACAGCCTTTTTTAAAAAAAACATTTACTTTTTAGTTGTAGTTGGACACAATACCTTTACTTTATTTGCTTTTATGTGGTGCTGAGGATCAAACGCAGGACCTCGCACGTGCTAGGTGAGCATTCTGCTGCTGAGCCACAACCCCAGCCCCTATAGTACAGCCTTTTGATTCAGCTTATCAGTATTTTGTCTCATACATTATGGTCTTCTCCTTTATGAATTATTTTTGGTATCTTCAGTTTTAACAGCATGGAAACAAAAAATATATTTAAATACTCTTCTGTTCTCACTGGTTATCTACATTTTTATTATACCACATCTTCTATGTATTCAAGTTCTAACCAGGTGTGGTGGTGCATACCTGTAAACCCAGTGACTCAGGAGGCTGAGGTAGGAGGATCACAAGTTCAAGGCAAGCCTTGGCAACTTAACAAGACCCTGTCTCAAAATAAAAAATAAAAAGTCCTGGGGATGTAGCTCCATGGTAGGGCACCCTTGGGTTCAATGCCCCAAACTAAAAACAACAGATACAACATCAAAATATGTACTCAGGTTCTTTATTTTGATTCCTTTCTTGGGCATCTGGAGTAATTCTTTGGCATTTTTATTTATTTTTTTTGGTGTTCAGAGAAAAAAATAGTTTATTATTGAGACCTTTAAAATATAAACATGTCTTTCTGTTGCCCTCCCTTATGAACAAGACCTTAATAGAACATGGGGCATGAAGGTGCACACCCATAATCCCAGCTATGAGCTCTCTGAGAGTAGGATGCAGGCATTAATGAAGATTGAGCCTCCTTTTACTTGTATCTGCCTTCTTCATGTACATAAACGCCCAGCCTAGAGGGAAGGTCAGTTCTAAAAGAAGGCATCAGGATAAAGACAGGAAATTCAACAGAAGATCTCATTATCCTGAGCAAAGGGTATCTGTGTGGGCTGGAACCTGCTCTGTCCTCTTTCCCTCCAGGCCACCTGTGAGTCTACACGGGCCACCCTTCACATCACATCACTCCCTCCTTTCCCATGGACCAGCCAGGGGCAAGAGTCCCAAACTTGTCTCTTCGGTGTTTCAGCGACTTTTCCCACTCCTAAAATTCTGTTCCTGGGGATAGAGAACTACAACACCCATAACCTTTCTCAGCCAGGCTGCATGACAGAGATCCTGACATCTGGTGACACCAGCCACTCCCACTGGCTGCCTTTGCAGGCAGGGCAGTAGGCATGAGTGGTTATCTGTGTTGGGCAGGGTTGGCAGGGGGCTTTGAGAAAGGGTGTGGGCAGCCACAGGGGCTCCTGAGATGTGCCCAAAAGTAGAGCTCAAAATGCCCAGGAAGCCAAAGACACGGGCTATTTACTATAGAAGTCTATATGGGCTCCGGACTCGAACGTGTCTGTTTGCAGCAAGTTCAGCAGCTTCTGGGCTGACATCCCGCAATCCACCAGCTCCCCCTTTGTCTTCAGATCCTGTAGCCTTTTTCGTAAGTCTGGATCCACTGAGGTCTCCCGGGCCAACTGCTGCATGTCTGTGTCCAGGGGACCTAGAGGATAAAAAGCAGAAGAATGGAGCCGAGTCAGGTCTGGCCAGAGGCAATACTTCATTTGGGCTGAAATGCTTGGTCGGAGTTGGCCAAAGATGCTACTTTGTCACTACGGAGTTCCCAACTCAAATTCCAAAGCCCACACAAAACACGGTTCCCCCCAACAAACTACCCTGTTGTCATCACCCCTCACCACCTGCCCAAACAGTACCTTCTCTCTCTCTTTTCCATTTGTTTTCAATGTGGTGCTGGAGATGAAGCTCAGGGCCTTACACGTGCAAAGCACACACTAACTCCAGTCCTGCAGCACCTTCTCTCGACTTTCCCACTTCTACACATGAAATATTTAAAACCCCTGGTGCCCTCCTCCCACCTTGCCCTCTGCCCACAGCCAGCCAGGTCCCAGGCAGGATCCTCCTGCATCTACATACCCTGACAACCAGGCCCTTCCTTTTCAAGGGTGGGTGCTTCAACCCACCCTTCTGCTAAACTCATTTTTCTAAAATATCATGCCCATTTCTCTGCTGAAAACCCCTCAGGACTTCCTATCTGAGAGGTGGTATGAATCACAGTCATGGATGTCCAGCGACCAGAGCGCACCTGTGCTGGGAACTCCTTGTGCAAAGGAACTAGTTGAGACTGCCCAGTTGCCATGGTAATGCCCTGTTCTGTGCTTCCCATGACAGTATCAGTTTAGACCATTAGTTTAGATACCAGTTGCTGGGGGTAAAGAATTATGAGTACAAGCTAATAATTATAATGGGATAACCCAGAAGTTCATCCTTCATCCTGCATGCTTTGAAGAAACTTATGTAATAAACCCTCTGAGCTAGCTCTGGGTCATTACATTTCCATCAGGGTATAATGAACCAATTGGTCTCAGCTTTCTTTCTCTCTCTCTCTCTCTCTAATTTCTTAGTTATACGCGGACACAATGTCTTTGATGCTGAGGATTGAACCCAGTGCCTCATGTGTGCAAGGCAAGCGCTCTGCCACTGAGCCACAACCCCAGCCCTCTTTCTTTCTTGTCTTTTCTAATCTTCCATTACCCCTGACCAGTTTTCTGAATTAACTGCCAAGTACTCAAGGTCCCTTATCACTTCCTACTGAGCACACCCAGCTTCCAAACTGCAAGGACTGTCACTCCATAACCCACTTTCCCTTCTTTACCTGCACTTCTGGGACATGTCTACCACCTGCCAACATCTAAATAGCCCTCATGGGTCAATACAGAGTTCATCTACCTCCAGTAAAATCATTCCTAGTCTCCCCATCTGAAAGGAACTGTTGTTCTCTTTTGAGCACTTGTAAGCACTTGCTATTCTTCATACAGAAATCACACCATCCCAGAATCTAGAGTTAATGATCCTGAGGGACAGAAAATCACAAGAATCTCAGGACTGGAAAGAATATCATCTTCTAACATTCAAACACCTTCTAATTGCTTCTCATCCTGATGACAGGAGATGTGCTACCTTTCCAAATAGCCCACTCTAACTTTGGACACCTGTTAGAACATTCTTCCAGAGACTGAAATGAAAACCAAATTGGTCTCTGCCTTGTACAAAGGCCCTGGGGAGCTCCTAGAAATCTCAGCTCTCTCAGAACACCCAGACTCCTGACATCAAACCTAGCCATGTGGCCATCTGCGATCTCCACTTCTAGCTTAACTGACATTCAGTCACTGTGTTCTGAATGAGCTCAGAGCACGTGATGAGCTGGCGTGTTGGCTCCAGAATAACTGCATGAGTTTATTGGGGTGGGAGCAATGGGAGAACATGAGACGCAGCACAGAAATGATCACAGACTTGGAAGCAAGGTAGAATCCTGATCTTGCCGCATCTGGGCTTTGGGCAGGACACTCTAATACTCTGTCCCCAGGACACAAAGCTGGATCTCTACCTGGCTGCTCAGACATTCAACCACAGCCCTGTCACCCCCTTCTAAACCGCGGGAACTGCAAGTCTAGAATAAAGGCCCTGGCATGTGGTATTTGGGTGGAGAGGTCAGAAACCACATCAGGTGTCCCAAGACCCCATACCTTTCAACTTCCACAAGGACAGGGAATGATCTTATTCATCCCAGCATCACCCACTGCAAGGGTTCCAGCCCAGTTCAGCCTAGGTTGTCACCACTCAACAATGCCTGTCTGCATGTCACTCAACTAACACTCCCTGCAAACTGCCCCAGTGGAGCTTTGCTAGCTAGCTGCTGGGCACACACAGATGAACCAGTTTTCCCATCAAGTACACCTATGAAGGTCATGCAGTGTGACAAGTCCTATGGAACAACTAGAAATTCTAGGAGAGTACTTCATTGCTGAGGATCATTTTCATATACACTATCTCCTTCTTCTCCCCAACTACCCTGTGAGACAGGTAGTATCTTTCCCATTTCATATGAGAGGTGGTTGGGGCCCAGAATTCAAATCCTAGTGTTCATCTAACATCTCAGACTTCCCTGTGCCACTCTCTATTCCAGGCCAATCCCTACTCTCTGTCTTCATCCACTGTTCCTGCAAGCTCTAACTTCCCTGCTATGTACATGTCACCTTAGCGGGTGAGGATCATGATTCAGGAACAACATACCTTGTGGGTCCTTCCCCAGAGAGACAGGCTAGGCCTTTTATCCAGCCCTCAGGGGGGACCAGCCAGTTCTGGGGGACAGCGATGGCAGTACCTTCCACCTACCTGGGGAATAGCTCAGCACCCTCACACTCGGTTCTTCTGCAGCCAGGACTTGGAACATCATTTCGCGGGCAGCCTTCCCTGCACAATACAATGCCCAACCCCTAAAGGGCTGAAGGGCACAAATGGATGAGATGTTAACCACTGTCCTAATCAAGCCAGGACAGTCCTGGAAGGCCTTCAGGGTGCTGGAGGTCAGGCAGAGTGTGGAAGTCAAGTTCAGAGCCCAATAGCTGTTTGCTTCAGCTGGGTCACTCAGGTTCAGGAAACCTTTGGAAACATCCCCAAGAGTGGCTGAAATACCAGAGGTGGAAATAACTCAGTGAAGCACCAGGATGTAGTTCTAAGGTAGAGCACTTGTCTAGCACGTGGGAGGCTGTGGGTTCAATCCCCAGCACCAGGAGTGTGGGAAGCAAAAGAAATAACCCAGCATGGGAGGGGCTTTCTCCTCCTAGGGCCCTCCCTCAATTCCTCCAGAAACCCCCTTCCCATCCAGACCGAGAGCAAACATCCACCTAGCACTTCTCAAGGCGTTTCCTGCTTCTGAAGCTCTGCAGAAAGACTAATGGGTGGAGAGGAGACCACCTACCCAAACTGCCCAATGAGAGGGTGGGGCGGAGCTCTAGGGACAGTTTAGAGAAGCAAAGCAATTTGGAGACATCATGTTTGGACTTAGGCTCTCGCTAGAGGGCGCTGCGCAAGGAGTTCTGGAAAGTTCTATGGACGCCTTAGAGAACTTGTTTGGGCAAACCTTGTCAGGGTGAGGGCCAGGTCACCTCGAGTGCACCCGGCCTTGCTCCTCTACGTTTTGCACCTGGGTGCCACCCAAACTGTAACCACTGGGCGTCTGGGCTCTCAGCCACCTAGTCTGATGGCCGAGGAATCGCCCTTTCTTTTCCCGTGGGTGGGGGTGGGAAGTGAACGCTTAAATGGAGAGTCCGCGCCAGCCCCCGCGTCTCACCAGCGTTGTTTATAAGCAGCAGCCGCTGAAGCCCTTCGGGTCTGGGGAGGTCACGCAGGGCTCCAAGCAGCTGCTGAAGGCCGGCATCCGAGCCCAGGTCGGCGGGCACCCACACCACGCGCAGGCCTGGGTGCTCAGCGACCAGCTCTGCCTCCAGCTGCTTCAGCGCCTCCTCGTTGCGGGCGGTTAGGAGCAACACCGAGCCGGGGGACAGCAGCCCCGCCAGGAGCTGAGCCAGCGTGCGGCCGAAGCCGCGGGAGGCCCCGGTGAGCACGCACACCGTGCGGCCAAAGCCGCCTTCCCTGTGGCTCC